TAATTATAAAAAATTATATTTATTATATTTTTAATTTGTATATTTAAAATATTATTAAGATAAATATTATATTAATTTTCAGAGTTGGATCGTGGTGGAAAGTAATTCTATTGTTCCTAAAAGTAAAATAAATGAAAGTTTAAACCCTTTTCAATCCAATGGGTCATGTCCTAGTGGCGGTAGTGATTGAAAATCCCTTTGAAGAATTGTGTTCGGGTCTTGGAGGATGCAAAGCTAAAGGAAATTTTCCAAGAATTTTAAACCGTCCGGTTTAACGGTTTACACCGGTTGGAGCGGTTCTGTCTGTTTTGAACCATAAATAAGCAGAGACAGAGATATGCTCCCCCCCGCCCCCCCGGTGCCATACTGGAAAAAAATTAATATTTTTCTAGATATTTTAATTAAAAATTAATAAAAAAAATTAATATACATAAATAAATTTAGTAAATAAGTAAAATGTTTTGGTTGAAAATATTAGTACATAATTCAAGAATTAAGTTTAATTCAAAGATTTATTTGAAATAAAAGAAAATAGGGTTATGGCCGAAAATTATTTGAACCCAAAGACTTGTCATTATTTTAAAGTTGATATTTAATTTATAAAAATATATATTTATAATAATAAATCTAAAACAATACGTAAAAAATTTCAATATTTGATAGTGCCATTGCAATAGTAAAATCGGTACATATGTCGATAAAGTATTGACTAATTTGTTTATTATTTGGTTGCTTGGTTATTGTGTTAGGCAATGTTTTAAAAATCGGACCAGATTGATCGGTTGAACCGATATTCAGTACAATAAACGGCTTGGGTTAAGATTTAGAATAGATAAAGTGGTTGAACCATTTAAAACCGATAAAACTATTCAGACCGGTACAAATCGTTAAACTGTTCAACCGGACGGTTTAAATCTTTTGGAGAATTTCCTATAAAGTTGTCACCTGCTGCAGGCTTCGAATACAAAACTTATAAGGCATTTTCAATCACCTTTGCCACTGGGACACAACCTCTACAATTGAAAAAGGTGGCTTAATATATTATTTATTTTATGTTTCCGAAGAAAAGAATCTCCCCTCCCGA